TCATACACAAAGGTCCGTGCCACATGTAAGAGGGACTATACATATATGATTATATATATAATACATATGATTATATATATATAATACATATCATATGATGTCGCTGATTTGCGGGACGGTCCTGTAAAGTAGGGTTCTTTGTATCACGCAACAACTATAGAGGCTTTCTTATACAGGTTACAACATGTTCATGCTTCTTCATTACTTGGCTAAGTGTCCAGTACAGTCTCTAGATGGTGGTCATCTGCAATTATCAGACGCGCCACTCTCATTGTTTTGGCCTTTTATCTAGACGGGTTCATGGAAAGAGTGCACATGCGGAAATGATCCATAAGGATATCTGACTGTAGTCCTTATACATCCACGGCCGATTATACTGCTGACCTGTATTCCACATCTTTAGGCACCTGCATTGCAGTTGTTGGACACAGCAATTGGCACCGAGCAGTACGGGGCTAGCTTCAATGTACTGAGTCCGAAGCCTCCCATGTATCAATCATTGCATACAGTACTCCCGGGGGTCCAACCTAGTTGGTGCCAACGCGAAGACCCTCAGGTAGTACTGGCACCCTTGCGCCAACCATGCAGCTAGGATGTGTCACTCCTTGGCTGCTTGAATGCCACTAGCTGATGGTGCATATGGGTAACCAAATACAAAGAAAGCTGATGATGGATGCGTAGCGTACCGGATTATGGCAGCGGTGCATCGTGCGCCCGGCAAGGTGCCACATTGCCCCGCCCCTCCCGGCCCAAACAAGCAGTGCTCTGATAGCAGCGTGAAAATGAACACTGAGCCAGGCGGGACGATGGTGGAAGCTGGTCCTCGGAGCTTGATGGGCAGGAGAGTTGTAAGCATCCCAATGGCCCAGCAATGGGGTTATCGATGTTTATCACTACAGGACTTGCGCTATCCCGTGCATTACATAATAGTCAAACCTTTCCGTGAGCCTCCAAGCCCCTGTTGCGCGTAGACAGCACTTCTTTGGCTACGCCACACCACCTCCAAAATCATCTTCACAGCAATCATATCACAGTTGTAAGGCTCAAGCTTTGGGGCTGGAGAGCCTATCAAAGTCTCAACGTGCAAAGTTCGCGAAGCTCGCGTATTTTCCTACTTGGACATTTGAGTGCCAAGATCCTGTCTCAGCAGGGAGCCTGTTCCAACCCTCCTCTGGTGATGCGGTCTCCGCAGACACCACCAATGCATGAATTAAGGCAACAATGATGAGAACGTATACGGAGCCAACCCTATCCCATCCCATCTCCAAATGGTACCTTCCTGTTCCCAACCTGCCTATAGCAGTGCGTACAAGGCAGTGCTTCGTTGGGGGTGGCAACGTAGACATTCCCATGCCATGATTTTTTCAATTATGAAGCCGCTGTGGCTGCCAACAAATGGCCAGCTGCGACAGACGGTTGCATTCATCCCGTCCCCATTCTACAAAACTACCGTTTTGGAGCGCCTGTTCTCTGAGTCATCTGGTAGTTTCCCTAAACAGCGTAACCCCAATGTAG